CATATATATGTGCTCATACTGAATGAAATGTATCCTGTCTCCTTCCAAGGACTGAGGGTTCAGCTCCCAGTGCTTGTGTACTGGGTATAGGAGGCATTTGCCTTAAACCAAAAGGTTTACAGAGTAAGAAACACCTTCTTGCTGAATGAATCAATTTTGTTGTTCATGCAGTAACTTTCTTATCTTAATTCATGCTCCTCATAAATAATCCACAGAAGGTACAAATCTGTATGTGATGACAGTAGATATTTTTTGTCAAGCACAAACTGTCCTGGATTCTGAATATTAATGGTGCTTGTATTCAGTTGAGAGAGAGAGGGAGGGAGGAGGAAAGAATAACATTTGAAAGCACTAAACCCAACTAGCCCATATTAAGGTCAGCAAAACACCAACAGATCTTTGACATTGATTTTAAAAATCTGTAATAATAAAATGTACAGGATTCAGATTAACTTTGCTGGGTCAATATTTAGCATTGATTCATTGCTTTGAAATCAGAATTGCAGGCGTTTTGATGAAAGGTATGAAATACTGGTCATGGGAAGTAACCTTACATCCTCCACATGCTATATGGCAGCGGTTTTCATCAGTGAGTCAAACACTATGCTTCCTTCATCCACCTTAGAATTACTATTTGACCCCTTTCTCCAGCAATGTAAGTAGATCTGTATAAAAAAAGTTTACTTCAGTCACAGAACTAGGTCTTTTTACACTGGTACCAGCACTGCAACTTTTCACTGTAAAGTTTATCAAATGAGACTTATAGTGCTTAGATGTGTTTATAGGTGCTTAGCATTATAATAACTCTACAGCTCTACTTTGCTTCCTGGAGGGATTCAATAGGTAAGCACCTCTCATCTCAAACTACTTTATGAACATATGCTCAATAAAGCATATCTGTCCTTGGAATGGAGAGTGGCAGCTAGTACACAGCAGACCGGGGGGCGGGGGAGAATTTTAGCTAAGTAAATTGCAGCAAATCTAGATTATTACAAAATGTGCTATAGGATTAGGTATTGGATTATGAAGACCAGCTAGGCCCTTGTTTAAGTTCTCATCTGAAAGAGCCCACACAACCAAGTGTAAGTATATCTGCTTATCTAATAGGTTGACCTAGGTCTGGGACCAGTGAGCACAGGCACTGCAAAACTGATGCCAACTGCTAAGCATTCCCTCCAGAAATAAAGTGACACCTGTTTTTTTTCCTATGGCAAGAAAGAAATAGTTGCTGTTGCCAGGAAGTATTCAACAAAAAAAGCTCAGACATTAAACATTATGTCTGCACTAAAACAGTCTTGTCAAGCCATCATGCAGGACAGAGGCACTAAGGCATTTTGCTAAGTCAGAAACTTGGGATCACTATTCAGAAAAATAAATCTGCTTAGTCATATTTTTCCCTTTAACAGAACAAATCACATCTTTACTTTTCGATCACCATAATTAGAAAAAGGATATTTCTATGGAGAATCAACAACAAAGCAATGTGCTTTGAACAATGAACCAAGAAGCTTATGCCAATAGTTTCAAACTGTATTGATTAAATATAGACACCACAAATCATATTTAAAGAGCCTACATAAATTAATGATGCCTAACTTAAGATACTCCAGTTTGAAAATGTGTACCTTTGTCTAACCATGTGCTTTCCTCTATATGTTCTAAATTTAAAGAGAGCCCACAGAATATAATTGGCACCTAATGACAAATCACTGTTTCTGTGAAAAACAACACATCATATCGTTATCTTTTGGTGAGTAAGCATTGTGTTGACTTGGTATCTCATGTTTTTTTCTGTCAGTGGACTCTGTACTGTCCTTTATTACTAATTATTTAACTATTATTCAGTGCTTGTAATGCAGTAGGGGTATGTCTAAACTACGGGGTTTTTTTTTCGAAAGAAGATATGCAAAGTCCACAGGAATTTGCATATCTTCTTCCAATCACTTTATGAAAGGTTTTTTTGTGGGGAAAAAAAACTTTTTTGAAAACCACGTAAACCTCCTTTTTTTTAGGAAAAGTGGGGTTTTTTTTAAAAAAAGGGGGGTTCCCACCCCAAAAATGCATCCAGACTACTTTCACTTTTAAAAGACGTGCTTTCAAAAAAGCAATCAGAAGAAGACATGCAAATTACCATGGAATCTGCATATCCTCTTTCAAAAAAAACATTGTAGTTTAGATGTACCTAAGGTGATTTACAAAATACATAAAAGGGAGCAATGCTCCATTGATTTTGTACCAGCTAAGGGTTCTAACCTGTGGTCTCAGCCCTGAGCAGCTTACAACCTAGAAATAGGCAAAATATGACAAGTAATGCCAGATGGGCCCTGGGAGAGGGATTTGGAGGATGGGTAAGAGAAAACTAGTAGTATAATGTGACTGTCTTGGTGCATGCTTCGTAGGAGTTAGTTATTTTTTATTTACTCTGATGCCATAATTTGGTTCTAAGGTGTCTAGGCCACTGCATGAGTTGCTTTTAAGGAAGTAAAGAAGGAAATCTTGCCACTGGATGGAGTCTGGAGCCTTCCCAACTCTACCAATAATGATCCTAACAATAATTCACATAAATGTTGTTACTTGCTGTTTCTGCTGCCCTTTACAAGGCCTTCAAGAAACAAAATAAAAACATGAGCTTCTGAGGTGTCTATATTCCACTGTTTTCCTGTGTTCCAAGGCTAAATTCCCAGTTCCAACTTTTAAATCTGTCCACAACAGTGTAATATCACAGTTCTCTGAGAAAACAATCTCAAGCGATCAATTACTGTATTCAAAATAGAGTTTGTTCTGTAATTTGCTGCTTCTTTCAATTAAAAATCAAAGACACTTTTGTTCTGGTTACTGTATGTCAAAGAAGTTTTGCCAAAAAGCAATAAAAGGAAGAAATTGATAATGAAAAGTCCTTCACTAAATAGGAAAAACAGGACAAGTCCACAATACTTTCTAACAGCACCATATGGTACATAGGTTTATTGTAATGTACTCTATGTGGGGCTGCCTTTGAAGAGTCTTCCAAAGCTTCAACTGGTCCAGAATGAAGCTGCTCAAGTTTTAACTAATACTCATTATACAGAGTACATTATGCCAGTGCTTCAGCAGCTGTACTGGTGTCCGGTATGTTTCCGGGCACAATTCAAGGTCTTGGTTATGACCTATAAAGCCCTAAATGGGTTGGGACTGGGGTATTTGAAGGACTGTCTCCTCCTATATGAACCTGCCCAGAGATAGAGGTGAGCTGTGGAGGCTCTGCTCCGTGTTCCTCCACTTATGAAAATAAAGCCGATGTCTACGCAGGGCAGGGCCTTCTCAGCCTTTGTCCCCAGGCTATGGAATTCTCTCCCCCAGGACATTCACCTGGCACCAACCTTGGCACTATTTTGGCACCAGGCTAAAGTCATCCTTTTATTGTTTAGTTTGTGTGTGTGTCATCCTCCACTTGAGGTGTTTTAGCAGGTTTTAACCCCTTTTGGGGTTCGGGATGGGATAGGATGGGATGGATAGAGTTTTAAAAAGTGTTGTAAGCCACCTTGAATATTTTTAATGGGGGGGAGTAAAAATATTTTAAATAAATAAATAGGAGACAAAGCATATGTCTTGCTTTAGAGGCTACATCCCAAATTGTTCCCCCTTCCCACACAATCCTTAAAGCACTTGCAGCTATGAAGTTTCTCCATGTTTGGTGCCTTACCTCTGACTCGCTGCTAACAAAAACACCATATTGCCCTCACCCTCTACATCTTCCCCAGTTCCCTTTGCCTCTGTCCTCACCAAGTTCCTACTTGCACTTTCCCTTTCACATCTTTAAGGTGTCTATCCACTTGTGATGTTAGCTGATGGCCCAGCATGCCTTGGTCCTGAGGACTGTTTTGATACAAACTGTAGGGCAAGGAAGTTCTTCAGAGCAATTGCCAGCTACTCTCCCTGCTGCATGGCAGCAAAGTTAATCTCCTATTGAGGATTTGGCAGGTTCTCCCATCCTTGTTAATCCTTTGCCTTTCCCTTTGAGTGCTTCCCACTATTCCTCCGCTGCTCTCTTCCTCTGCAGGTCAAACACGAGGGACAGCTCTTGGAGATTCTTTGGCCCTTCTGGGCATGTAAGATGGAATTGCTGGGAGAGGGGTTGTGTTAAAAGAGCCATTATTTTTGCCTTTAACAGCTTTCTCTGTGTGAATTTTTAATCTAAAACTTTATTCTAACAGGTAAACAACATTGATGCAACCCAAAGTGAACACAGTATCTGACATGGCTACTGTGCATTTGTTCATTAAATGTATCTAGGCATCTAATTCTCATTGCAAAGGTGTTCCTAAATGCTTCGGGGGATCTGAGCCTCGCTGCCGTAGGTGCACTGCCTGACAGCTAGAGTCAGTCAGGAATAATACTTCAAGCATTTTAATAAACAACACAACTTACTAAACAATTCATCTTAATAAACAATACAGTTTCTAATATATGCCACTAACATTTTATTCATTCTGCCTGAAACTACAATATTACAACCCCCTGTGCTTTGAATGAAAATTAAATTAATTCTGCAGTGGACAATATGGTTAAATGTCTCAGTTATTTGACACACATAATCCAGTGGGATATCCAGTATCTCAGCATAACCATCTGTTTCAACTCTTAATTAAACATTCAGGGCTGTTTTTGTAACTAGTTTTAATATAATCTTTCTTTTGTGGAAATAGTGGCGGCTGACTCAGTGAAAATTACTTTTTCTTGTTTCCTAAAATTGTGTCTGCTATTAAGGCCACAACTATGTGGCCTTAATAATCATTGATTTAGTATGTTCTGGCAGTTTTAAATCCCAGGTTTACACTTTTAGATTATTTATTTTGTGATAGCATACAAAGACTCTAGTGAGAATTGGAGTCGCATCATACTGGAAACAGTTCAACAGCTTACAATTCAAGACCAAAGGACTTGCAATCTAATGTAAACCAAGATGTTATAAGGAAGCTAACTCACATTACCAACATGCTATGGTTTTGCACACAACATACTTCTCATATAGCCTCTGTCCTCTCATGAACACCTTCACCTCGTTATCCAGTGGGAATGTTCCATCGTCTTTCCTAAAGCGGTAGAAAAGTTTGACATCCTTGAATTCCTTATGCTCGTCACAAACTGAAACATAAAATAAGGGACATGAGAAATGATCACACTTATGTTAAAGACCCAACACAATCAGAACAAGTTACCAAGCATCACCAGTGAATTTAAAACCAGAACAGGTGTATGTAGAGCTCAGTCTTGCCTTGTCTGCTCCAAAACTGTTTATTGTACAAACATGCCCCCACACATAACAGGCTGACTAGCGCCTTCTGGAATCCAAACTTCTAGATAATTATCCAAACAGAATCTCTAATATTTTGGAGCTTGCCCATCAAACATTTCAATGGATGTTGCAATAGCAATGCATAGCAAAAAGCCACCTATCTGGAAAAACCTTGTGATTAAATCAGATATTCCCTAAAAACCCTGAATCTAGGACTCAGTATTTTAAGGACTGGTTAACCAATGACTGTCACTTGATCAATCCAGGGCTGGACCAAGCAAACCTGAAACTTGCATGTATGTAAGTCAGAACATGTCTGGGCTGTCCGCTGCCTGTGTGTTCGCAAAGACAGATAATAAGATTTTCTGTGTGATTCTGCTATGACAGCTAGGGAATAGAAAAGGTAATGGAGAATGGATTGAGAGCTGGAAAACACTTTTAGGGAAACAGTGGACAAAAGAGTCTTGTTAAAATTGAGAGAGTGGACTGAAATGACTCCAGCTAAGACAGAGATAAAGTGGGGGACATCCCAATCAAGCTATTATCACCACAGAGCTCTCTGCATGCACAGACTCATACTCTACCCTATATGGCACTAGTGCATGCACATTAAACATTGCATTACTGTTTTAACTTACCGCTGGTGGCATAAAAGGTGCCAATGGAACCTGGTTTACTAGCCTACCTAAATGTGGCCTACCTCAAAACATTCTTGAAATAATATTAACTTTAAAGTCAAGGAAAGAAAATCCTTGAAAATATCAATTTTGTACTTACAACAAGGAATCCGGTGGCAATTTATTAGGGCATACATGTTCATGAGCTACAACTCACTTCATCAGATGCTGAAGAAGAAAAAATGAATGCAGAGAAGGCAGGCAAAAACATCTTCAAAAACAGACTGCAAGGGAAAACTGCTGAGCTGGAATTCATATACAAATTTGACAAGGTTTAAATAGGCACATTCAGTGGTTCTTACATTACAACAGGTAAATCCCCAGTTAGGTACTCTCACCTTCTCATCCCTGGTGGAGATGAGCCACATCCACTCTGATTTAATTAGCACTGATGTCCCACTGCCTTCTCTGTATCTTTTTTTAAAATTCAGTCTGATGAAGTGAGTTGTAGCTCACAAAAGTTTATGTTCTAATACCCTAATAAATTCATTAGTGTTTAGAGTGCCACCAGACTCTTTGTTGTTTTTTCTGAAACAAACTAACACGGCTACCTTTCTGAATTTGTACTTAATTTTTTTTAAATCTTTTTTTGTCAAGGACTCTTGCCTTCACTCATTGACCCAGCTAACTAGAAGTAGAGAGTGAGATTAGGTTCTGAGGGGGGAAACATTTTAACATTTTGTTAAAAGTTTAAATAAACTTTCAGATACCAAGTTTCCATTGTTCAATTAAATTAGGTTACTCTAACCTTCATGTAACTGTTCACTAACATTTCTTCAATAGAGGAAAAGCAGTTGGCATTGGAGTCCTTATAATTGCTTGGTATCAGTTCTTTAATTATCTACCTCAATTCCCAGGTTCCATAAATATCCAGAATTTTAATTTCTGAATCAAGCAGAATGTGTAGTAGTGGCACACATTCCGTCTGCATATATAGCCCTTCATTTAAGGTATTGTTTGTGCACTTCTGACTCTTTCAACTGTGCTCATGTACACATAGTTGCCTCTGGAGAAAGTCAACATTTGTTAGTTACAGACATTACTATATTCTCTGTTACAAAGAGATGAGGAAATTGCAATTTCAGATGTTGATTTTTTTTAACCGGACAATACTGTACACTTGAAACAAAGGGCTTGATTCTCCACTGCCTTGTACATTGGACATTTTGTACCTATACTTTATATAGATGTAAAATGAGTATATAAACGTAATAACTGATAATGGTTTGCAGGGCTCGACAAATAATACAACCTACTCACCCGTGGCGAGTAGATTGTAACCCAGAAGAGCCGGGTTCAGGCAATCTGCACATGCGCAGAACGATCTGTGCATGCGCAAATCACCGCACAGCGCAGCTGGCAAGCGGGGCTTGCCGCGGTTCGGCGAGCCCTGATGGTTTGTATCCTCATTTTATAAACAATGCATGTGACTTCCAATACATCATTATTATAGAAATGAAGTAAGGGGTCACCATGACACAGAGCAAGAGAAAAGATCCAGAACAGATTCAGTTTATAAAGAAAGGATGTTGCATCTAATGTATCTCACTACAGTCACTAAGGGAGAAACCCTCCCTTTTAACAGCTCCAAGTCCAGATGGTCAGAAATAACATCAGAGGTGTTCTAGACAGCAGAATCTCCGCTGAAGGACAGTAGAAGTGCAGGAGATGTGTAGCCATTGAGGCAACAGTGCTGTCTGAAGCAAGTGCATCCTTCTTTGCGGAGGAAAATGGACAATGGTCATAAAATCATAGGGCTAAAAGAGATCTCAGGAGGTCACTGTGTTCAACCCCTGCTAAAAGCAGGACCAATCCCAATTAAGTCATCCCAGCCAGGGCTTTGTCACACTGGGACTTAAAAACCTGTATGGATGGAGATTCCATCACCTCCCTAGATAACCCATTCCAGTGCTTCACCACCCACCTAATGAAATAGTTTTTCCTAACATCCAACCTAGACCTCCCGCACGGCAACTTGAGATCATTGTTCCTCATTCGGTCATCTGTCACTACTGTGAACAGCCTCTCTCCATTTTCTTTGGAGCCCCCCTTCACGTAGTTGAAGGCTGCTATCAAATCCCCCCTCATTCTTCTCTTCTACAGACTAAATAAGCCCAAATCCCTCAGCCTTTCCTCATAAATCATGTGCTCCAGTCCCCTAATCATTTTTGTTGCCTTCCACCGGACTGTCCAACACATCCACAGCCTTTCTATAACAGGGGCCCAGAATTGGATGCAATACTCCAGATGTGGCCTCACCAGTGCTGACTAAAGGGGAATAATCACTTCCCTAGATCTGCTGGCAATGCTCCTACTAATGCACCCCAATATGCCATTAACCTTCTTGGCTATAAGGGCACACTGCTGACTCTCATCCATCCAGTTTCTCATCCACTGTAATCCCAGGTCCTTTTCTGCAGAACTGCTGCTCAGCCAGTCAGTCCCCAGCCTGTAGCAGTGCTTGGGATTCTTCCATCCCAAGTGCAGGACTCTGCACTTGTCCTTGTTGAACGTCATCAGATTTTTTAGCCCTGAGTAGTCATGGTTCTGTTGGCTCCATCCTTACATCTCTATTAGTCACCCCTATACATTGGCATGAACAGGAGTCCCCATGAAGCAGAGATGTGCAGGGCACAGAGTATAAGGACTTCCCTTTCCATGGGAATGACCGAACCCTGACTTGCCTATATACAGCAGAATAATCGGAGGCCTTCTTCAATTGCAGAAGAAAGGTCGAGTATCACAGTTACCAAGAAAAAAATTAAAACAATTGGGGCTACTGCTATTTAACTCACCATGATGGATAATGCTGTGATCCAATAATTTCTGCACCAGTTTAATTGCTGTCTCTCTGTCTGAGGCTTCTTTGCGATCCAGCAGCCAGTCAATCAACTCTTTGGCAACAAAACAGTTTGGATATGTCTTGAGATGATGCCTTCTATCTTTAATTACCTTTTCTTCATGCAGTCTGAGCCTGTGGGTTAAATCACACTATTAATAACATCCGCAGAGAAACTATATAACCAAAGAAGGAAAGGACTCCTTCATATATAACATTCTACTGCCCGATTGCCACACAATTCACATGGAACCCAATAAATACTATGCCTAATTATAAAAATGTATAGTGGCAAGCCTGTTGAAAGGCAAAGAATACAAACACAAATTGTCATCTCACCATTTTCATTTTCAGCTGAAAAAGGACAAAAAAAAGCAGAAAAAGAAACAATATCAATGATTATTTTAAACCCAGCACATGGAGATTTTTTCCGTTCCAGTGGAAAATAAACAGGAGGAGAAGCAGATGTAATGCTCAGTGTAATCTGCTAAACATATGAATGCATGCTCCAGTGTGTCAATACAATTACATTTTAACACTTTGGTGTCAGTTGAAACTAATTCTCCCACATTCCCTTTAATATGCTTGATACTACGCCATTATTTTTTGAGAAAGCCACTTTCAATGATTCATTAACCCCACTCTCTGGACTCAGCAGCAGTTTCTTTGTAGTATAATTCTTTTAATTTCCACTGGTTATGCAACTGCATTTTATCTACGCTACATACTAGGTACAGAGGCTGCTATTTAGAAGTCAGTATCTAGACAGTTTCCACACAAAGCTGTCTAACACAGCAGCAGCTACTTCCTTTCCCATGGGAAACGGAGCTCTGAAGTCTGCAAAATCCCACCCATATCTGGACTGATCAGAGGAAGTAAAGGTCTCTTTATGATTAGTCACTTTTCCAAATGAATATTTATTTTATATTTATCTGTTTGTTATCTATTTTATTTATACCAAAACAACAGGCAGAGATTTTGCAGATGTTTTAATTGTTTATTACTTTTTACTTTTAATTAATAATTTTACTGATAACTACTGAATTTTTATAGTCCCATTTATCAATAACTATGAAGAAAGCACAGGAGCCTCTCAGTAGAGCACATCATGGAGGGGGGAATCTTAGACTCCAACTGCAAAAACTTACACACATTTAAGTTTATGTGCTTTCAATGAAATTCTGGCCACACTGAAATCAATGGAACCATTGCCATGTACTTCAATGGTGCCAAAATTTCACCCTAAAAATAGTCTCAGTGACTTCAGTAGGGCTATGTGCAGGCATAGAAGGGCTTTTCTCTGAAAACAAGTAGCAGGATCAGGACCTAAATAGGCAGAACAGTTGCCAGAAATACAAACCAGTGCAATATGAACAATAGTTATTCCTCACTAACTAATCTGGTTTAAAATATTGCAGCACCTCAAAATCTTCAATGTATTTACCTTCACAGTGCTTCTGGGAGGGACAGCAGTGCTATTATCCCTATTTTGCAGATGGAGAACCAAGGAACAGCAAGGCAAGGTCACACAGGTGGTTGAGTGGAGAATTGGACCTTGGCCTCCAGAGTAGGGCCCTAACCACTAGTCCAGTGGCTCCCAACCACCGGTCTGCGGTCCAGTGGTGGATCACAAACCCATGCCTGCCAGGCCGTGGCACTCTTCCAGGTCATACCCCTGGCTGTGCACAAAGAATTTTAGGCGGGCTGCTTAGCGGACAGTTGTCCTGCCCTCATTGTGCTCCAGCTGGACCTGGGGAGCATTGAGGCTGTCCTTATTGGGGCAGCCTCGGCAGGCAAAACGCTGTGGCCGACTGGCCAGACCACGTGGCAGTGGGCAGCTGCAAAGCTAGAGCAAAGGGGGACAGCCACCCACTGCCATGCAGCTCAGCCAGCCGGCCATATTGTTCCGCTCACCAAGGCTGCCCCAGGAGAGGCAGCATTACCGTGCCCCGGCTGCTCCTGAAAGGTTGATGCAGATTTGGTTCTTTTTGATTTTCGATTCTTTGATTTTTTTTTTCCAGCTTTGGCTTCTGCCAAAGGGGGGCATACAATGTATATAGTTATAGTTGATATTAACTATATTGAACTGGACAACAAAACTTGAACCTTTCACCAGGGCCAGCCCAAGCCATGTTGGCGCCTTTGTCCCTAAGGGTATGTCTACACAACCCCGCTAGTTCGAACTTTTTAAATGCCGGCTAGTTAGGACTGAGTGCCGCGCGGCTACACGCAGCTATCCGAACTAGCTGTACGCCTCGTGGAACTAGCCGGCATTTAAAAATGGCGCTGGCCGGCTTTATGCAAATGAAGCCGGGGAAATACAAATCCCGGGCTTCATTTGCAACTCCGTATGACTACATTAACCCCCCTAGTTCGAACTAGGGGGGTAGTGTAGACATACCCTAAGTGCGTGGCGCCTCCGGGCGCACGGTGCATGGCCCCGCCTCTGGGTGCACAGTGCATGCGCAGGCCAGCCCACGGGGAGCGTGGGTGGACTCACAGTGCATGCACTGCCCAGTCGGCCTGGCCACTGCCGAAGGCACGCAGCCCGGGGCCACCCAGAGAGGGCTGCGCCTAGCCGTGCAGGGCCTTGTGACTGCAGGGGGAAGGAGGCTGCTGGCTGGTGCTGCGGGGGTTAACATGGCCCCCGCCCCGGGCAGCTGCTGCAGCCCGCCAGAAGCCGGGTGCCCCCCATAGGTTGGCAGCTGACCGGCTAGCCCATCCCTTAGTCCAGCCCTGCCTTTCACGGTATATGAAGTTTCAGAGGTAATATAGCTGCTCTTCAGTTAAGGCTGTGCTGGAATTTGCATTGAAAGAAGAAATTAAGCCTAATTTTTTAAAAAATGAATGATAAAATGTATTTGGCTACAATTAGGATTAGCATATAGTCTAGGAGTGAAGACGATTTACAAGTGAATGTATTATTAACTTTATTAATCAGTCTTGCATGGTGCCTAGTTTTCAGTGTTGCCCTGTAATGCCAGACTGTATTGAATATATCTCAACATGGAATTTGGCCCAGTGTGTGCCACATTATGTGTTATTTTACTACCTCATTGGCTTCTGTGGATGGCTTCTGTGGGGGATCTGTTAAAGTAGTGCTTACGCACATAAAAAGAGATGAGTACATGTTGTTTAGACTAGAGGAAATCTTTGTTTCTTCTAAGATAAGTTGTTTCATGTATTTACTTAAGATTTATATAATCACAGCAAGGTTTTATAGTAATTGTGTTAGTGCCTTCTTCATAGCATAGCAATAGCTTGTTAGCAGCTGTGAAATGCTTGGCAAATCCTAACTTCTTTGCACAATCAAGAAGACTGCTTTAAATTGAACTATGCAGACTCTGTAACTGCAAATCCCATGTTCTACTCAATTATACCATCTGACATCCAAGAAAAATGTGTGTAAGCATTTGTCACAAAAATTAAAATGCTTTAGAGGGGAAGGTTCTTTGCATAAATTCATATTACCCAGGAGAACAAAGCAATCAACACTGGCTACGTCTAGACTGGCATGATTTTCTGGAAATGCTTTTAACGGAAAAGTTTTCTGTTAAAAGCATTTTTGGAAAAAAGCATCTAGATTGGCATGGACGCTTTTCCACAAAAGTACTTTTTGCGGAAAAGCGTCCGTGCTAATCTAGACGCACTTTTCCGCAAAAAAGCCCCGATCGCCATTTTCGGAAAACAAATCTGAGCTGTCTACACTGGCCCTTTTGCGCAAAAGTTTTGCGCAAAAGGACTTTTGCCTGAACGGGAGCAGCATAGTATTTCTGCAAGAAGCACTGATTTCTTACAGGAGGAAGTCAGTGCTTTTGCGGAAATTCAAGTGGCCAGTGTAGATAGATGGCAAGTTTTTCCAGAAAAGTGGCTGATTTTCCGGAAAAACTGGCCAGGCTAGACACAGCCACTATGTAAGTGGTATGACAGCAAGAGCTACCGTCCTCCTAAAAGGTTTTTTCTTAATTAAATAAACCTTTCGGTGGAGAAGAGAAGTTATATGATAGCACGGAATATTTTGTAACATTAGATAAAAAGAGATTATTTTTTAAAAATGTAAAACAAAAATAAATATGTACTACTTAATAAAATACATTATTAAGTGCATAGGAATCAGCACACAGGTTTAGGCCAATGAATGACATGTATTGTGTACATACAAATGCAATGTAAAACAACACGTGACCTTTTGAAATAAATTACCATAACGAATATGCAAATATGTTAATTGTCATAATGAATATGCAAATGTTTCCATCCTGGTCCACCAAAAGTTTTGAACGAGTTTGCCAGTCCGTGGTATAAAAAGATTGGGAACCACTCCACTGGTCCACCCTTCCTTTCAATGTGATATTAATATGTTTTAGCATCACACTGTTCCTTTTGAAACCACAAGGCAACTAAGATGACTAAGGGTGTTAATGATGCCATTACTTGCATCATAAACAAGACTTAAATATGGCTTCCACCTATAACTATCCATAACCAGCAGTATAGGAACTGTTTTGCAATATTTATCCTATTACTCTAGAATGAGATTGCCCTTCCCCCGCCCAAAGTTTGGCAACTCTGTAATATTTATGAACTGGACAAACCAGCAGGAGTGCTGGAAACTCACCCTTCCCATCCCTTCTCCTTAAGGGCCTGCCCCTGCCCTGTCCCTTCCCCCTGGAACCTTGCCCATTCACTCCTCTTTCCCTGTCCCTCTTGTAGAAGCT